AAGCGCCCAGAATTCTACAATTTTTCTGTTATCACAGTGTAGAATTCTGTGGTTTAGGGTGAACGCAAAATTTGTTGGCCTAGATCTAGGCTATAACAGTGAACGCGCACCGGGTGAGAATAGCCAAAAGACTAGATCTAGCCTGCACTATTCTCATCCCGGGTGAGAATAGAGGTGGCCTTATAAAATATAGATCTAGATCTAGATTCAAGATCAAGGCTACTTAGGCTTTAAAGTCTTCGGCTAAGTAAGTAGACCATCTAAATCTAGAATCTAGAATCTGTCTGGTCCAGTACAATTGGCTATTTATAGACTAGATTTCTAGATCTAGAAGAGTATAGAAACCTACATTAAGGAATAGTGTTGTCTGGGTCCTCCTTCAGAGCCCAAATACTCCATGTTGGAAGTCAAACGTAGCAGACAGTGGAGTCCTTGATACTATAGACAGATACTGCAACAAAGTTTTCGTGCCTTCGTGAAATGTATTGTCATCCCACCCACATGAGAATGAAAGCAAGTGGCAAGGCAAAAGAAGGAATATGCTTCAATACGAGAGTTATCTTTCCTAACATTGTGCAATGTACTCGTGCTTCCGGTCTTTAGACTTTCGATTCGTCGATTTTTAGTTGCAATATTTTATAATCATCCAGGTGCATGCACTGCAACCTTTTTGCTGTGACACAGAATACAGAACGAAATCCAAAGTGCAACGAAAACAAAGCAAAACATAAACTCAATTCAGTCCGTTGGGCTAAGACATTGTTTCGCCATAAATGAAAGATGTTTTTTGGGGTTGCTTTACGGGAACGGGAATTAAGGGAAGGAAACGTATTTTTTATACTTCACAAATTAATAATACTAAATAATCAAATTACGTAAGCCCTACCAATGACTATCGTAGATTAATCGGTAAAATTTGTATCTGCCCATGCACATCATTTGATGGCGTTTACCTCTCTTAAAAGAACCTAATATGTAAACATCTTAGGGTGGTCAACTACTTCAAGCTGCCATGGGAAACCAGTATACAGTGTATTCCTTGTGGGGCTTTTTTTTTTTAACCCTTAATAAGGATGCCCTGAGCAATATTGTAACTTTTTAGCCTGTTATTTTCCTTGTCTTTTTGTTGTTGTTGTTGTTATTGTTGTTTTCATTTTTCTTTTTCTTT